GAGGAAACAAGGACCATTTTAAAACCATCCATACCAGCCTTCAAGGGCACAAACCAGGAGGGGGAAAGTAAAGGATAGGCCTGAAGAGGCTGACAGAGGTGTCCAGTAATAACAACTCTTGTTATGCTCATTTTATGCATGAGGTTACTGGGGTTTAGAGGGGTAAGGTGACTACTAAGAGTTCACAGTCAGCACAAGCCAGACCTAGTCTTCAGCCCCTTTGTGTCAGACTCCAGAGCCTGAGCTCCTGATGGCTTTTCAGCCCTTGGAGTCCCTTTTTGTCCTTCTAGGGTTAAAAACAGCCTCAGAAGTGATCTGATTCAACCTTCTCCCTTAGAGATGTTTGAATATGATGTCTCTCCATTTAGGACATGAGCCTTGCAGAGACCTCAGTAGCCTTTGAAAAGCCAGTGGTCTGTGTGCTCATTCTTCCTGTTCCAATACTGTGGCTTGTATCCTGACATGTAATTTTGATTTATAACTCTGAATGAGACACTCGTAGAGACAAAGTTGTTAGGCAGTCAAAAGGAGAGGATGGCATTTTTTACTATTAAATTTTTTCTTTCTTCTGACATGCTCTCTTCATTAAGGAACTTAAGGAATTTTCCATTGACAAAGAGTTGTCTAGAGAATAGCTTTGCTTGGGGTCAGGATGGGAAGCAGGGAGGGCAGTGAATTGATGACTGGATTTTCCAATTTCATGTGCTGGAGTTAGAACACAGTCCAAGACTCTGTTAAATGTGTTCCAGTAGACTATGGAAGAAGTAAACAGAATGCAAAATGTTTAAATACAGTGAAACTAAAAACTACTATTAAACATATTCTTCAGTATCCCTATGAGGGTCCTTAAGATAAGAAAAGGAAAGGAAATTTTCATAGAGTGAGTAGTAAGAGGTTGTTAATTACTCTTTGTGTAAGAATTAAATTCGCTGAAAAGGGACTACTGAAGTAATTATCTGAGGTCAAGGGGCCCCTCCCCAATCTGTCTGCTCCTCTGTCAAACAGAGATAAAAAATCCCACTCAGGACTCCTGGTAATGTCTTCCTGTACAAGCACTTTTTGGCCTACAGACAGGTTGTAGTCTAAGATGGTCTGTAACTCAGTTGTTGGGAATATGAACCAAATCTTCTAAAAGTTACGGTGTTATAAACTGTGACTCAGGGCTGGACCAACCTTTGACACCCATTAAAATCTCCAATCTAACTCAGTGTGAATTGCAAAAGTACTTCCTGGTATGAAGTAAGAGGAAAATGACAATACTGAGAACTCAGTGCTCCTGTCCCAGGTCAGGTCCTGAACCTGGCATGTTCTCACTGCCTGTCACACTCCAGCACTTTCAGGCTCAACGCAAGAATGGAACCTGAAAGTTTCAGGCACGCTGGACTAGTGCCATGGTTTGTCATCTTTGTAACTAACAGGATGTAGGAGGCTTTCATGGGTGAACAGTGAGTATTGTGGCCCAGATATGCCTCACCTCGAACTCAAAGGCCCTTTTTGTTTGTTTGCTTTTCACACCAGAGTGAAGGATAAAAAGTGGTAAGTTATATGTTTGTTTTGATTGTTTGGAAAACTTCCCAATTTTAGCAGAATGTCTGCCTACAAGTAATGAGGATCTGTGAGTGAAGAAAAGGAACAGTTTGATAACCTTTTTAAAGATTATCCCCATAGGCAAGGCAGGCCTGAGAGAACATTCTCAGGAGAGAAAGTTCAGTTTGGGGTTCCCTTTTAACTAACTGGGCAGTACAGTATTGAGACATTGACTCTTCATAGGAAATCTTCAAAAACCTGGGCTACAGAACATCTTTTTTCGAGGAAAATTATCTTCCTGCCACTGAACCCTAGCTAAGCAAGACTTTTGAGATTGATTTAATCATCATCCGCTTCAGTGTCTTGGTAGTGAGTGAAAACGGGATTAGGGTGGCATAAGGGGGAAAAGTTTTCAGTGACTCGTGGTAAACCAATGTTAAGAGATACCCCCCCACCTTCAAATAGGCCCTGCGTGTGTAAAAGTCAATTTCTACTTTATGAGAGATTAGAACCAGAGAGTGGCTCATATTTAGACCCTGAAAAGGTAAGGAACAGTGAATATACCCCAAATTAGGTTTCAAAATAGCTCTGATCTAGTAATTTGCCCAGTAATTTCCCCAGACTGGGGCAGGACTGAAGAACTTAAAAAGGGGAGGAAGTGGTATCTGATAAATCTATGGTTTAGTATAGCTGAATTTCGGGTGGAGGGGGGAGTGGAGGAGAAAGGTAAGAGAAGAGGGAAAAAGGTGTGTGTTTGTGGGGGAGAGGAGGGAGAAGGGAGTGGGGGATCGAACTACACCAGGTTGTCTTCATTTCCCCGCAGGATTTCACCCACTATAAGCTTCTGTTGTTGCTTTGTTTATGCAAAGTTAGTCAGCCGGAGACACAGAGAAAGTGCTGAGATACTCGCTGAGGAAGGCAAAAATGATTTTTAAAATTTAAATGAAACCACGCACACACACGCGCGCTCGCGCGCGCGCACAGGCACACACTGGGTCGGGGCAATCCCTGCCCGCAGACTTTGAAATGAAAACATGCCGAGGAGGGCGGGCGGGAGGCCGCTGCAGCAGCGGGGAGCGTTGTCTGTGACCGAAGGAGCTCTGGTGAATATCAGGTTCGGATTAGTGACAACTCAGAAGTCACGCCGGCGGTTGGGGGAGGGAAGTTTGCCAAGGTCTCAGAACTCGACGGAAGAGAGAGCGGCTTCCCTTGGCGCCGGGCGGAGCTGGGCGTTCGTCGAGAGACCTCTGTCCCGGCCCGAGCCTGCCCCCACTCGACCCCCGCTCTCACACCCCGCCCTGAGATTGAGTTTGTCAGCGATCATAAAATGGGAATTGATTATTCCAGCCACCATTGATTAGGGAAGAATGCTTACTGCAGCAGCGGGGAAAAGGTTAAGAGGAAATTGACCTTCTTCCTAGGTGACATAAAGTCATTAGGTAAATGAGATATTCACACAGGAGTTTTAAAAGGTCACGCTCAATTTTTATTTGTAGCCTGAAGAGTCAACCTGGAGCTGGGGCTTAGGGCAGGGACCCCGCTCTTCTGGACAAGCTGACCGACAGGGAGACAACTCTCTTGCTGCGCAGGGCAGAGGCAAGATGGGAGGTGGGTTACTGTCCCGGGAGGATCGCACTGGAATTGGTGGAGTCCCGGGCCCGAGCTCTGCGCCTCGTCTGACCCTTGTGTGCGTCCCTGTGCCTGTGTGTGCGCCTGTGTCCCTCGGGGGCCCTGCGCTTCGCGCGGCGTTTCCTCCGTTCCAGTCACCCGTCAGCATAGGGATGCCGGGCAGAGACAGACAATTAAAAACACTTATCCTACCATAGCCGGCCACGTATCACACAGAGTGAAAGTGTTTTGTTTTGTTTTTTAAGGAGAGGGTGAGAGATATATTTATGCACATATTTATCCCTTTAATTATAGGAATTAATCCTCTTATGACTAAAAGGTAACGTGGAAGGACGTCCCTTTGATGTGGAAAAGCACCATTTGTGACTCACATTCCGACTGATTAAGGAATAATTGTTGTTAAACGCTTTACAAGAGAAGAGTGTTTAATTGAGGGGCATTCGTAATTTTACGGCTTAGTACAAAATTAAACGTAATTAAAAACTCAGAAATTCCAAATGATTTTCCAATTATTTTTATTGTCTGAGCTAATTATTACACAAGGGTATCACTTTGCCTTAAAGGCATTTTAAAAATACCTTTTCCAAATATTCGCAGAGAAGTGACTCAAAGCTTTCTCCAGGTACAAGCCTAGTAAAGGACCTTCCTTCTTCACTCCCCTCTAATTCGGTACCCCGCCACGCGCCCCTCCTTCGCCTCCGGTAATTAAGCGTTTCAGCCACTCTCCCCTCTCTCTGAGTTCCTGCAACACCTTGGGATGTGAGAAAGTGATGGCAGTTCTCTTCTGCAGATCATTACAGCAAAACTGGAAGTATCTGTAGAGGGCTGATGAATTTCTTGAAGTAACACTTGTCATACATGGCGGCGGAAAAAAAAAAACAAAAAAAAACCTAAGTAAACACAGCTCTCTGGGGGCAATCCCTCCATGCCTCTGCCTTGGGGTGTGTGGCAGGAGGGAGGTAATACCCCAGTACGGACTGGAAGTTGTTTATAAACTCACACGCGAAGACGTACAGATGCATGCTGGAAACTTTCTTTTGGTTTGCACTTCTATTTATTTATTGAGAGAAGGATGGATATGAAAAAGCTGCTCAGTTAGATTATGAATGTTTTTTAATGCTGGGATTGACGGCAAAAAGCCAAGCTATGTTTATATGTGTAGCTTCTTTAAATGTCCAAATAGTCTTATTTAAATACATCAAAAGGTTTACAGAAACTGCTTCAGTGTTATGGAAATTAAAACACATCCTCACAGCTAGTCCAGGAGTGGCCTTGTCTTTCCTATCAGACTTGGCTATCTTCCCTATTAAACCTTGAAAAAATAAATAAATAAATAAATAACATAAAATTGGGGAGAATATGGATTTGTATGTTATGATTCATCGGAACTGAGAGTATGGAGCCATGGAATGTTTGTGTTTCCGTAAGTCTAATTTCTCTGAAATTTGTAGGACAGAGACTTCAGTGGATTCTAGCATTCTATCCGCCTTTCCCCTCCACACCCCATAAAATAAATGATTGCCTCTGATCTGATGTGCCAGGTGAAAATGGGTAGAATTAAAACTGTCAATTCTGCTTCCAACTGGTGTCTTTCGCTTGAGTTCAAAAGCTTTTAAAGTTAAAACGTGCCGATCATTTGTAAGTATTATTTCTTTTTCTACCATCGAGGCTTTTAAGTCAAAAGAAAGAAAAGGTATTTCTATTTCCAAATTCATTTTCTCTGGAAGATTTCACTCTGTCAGGTAATTTGATGATGGACCCTGACCGTATGAGAATGTCTGCCTGGCAAAGCCTGGTTTACCCGAGTGCAGCCAAGTATACTCAAGTCCGGTTATTCCGTTTTTTTTACTCCAATGGTATATTTGGAGCTGGGATGTGGATATTTAAATTCAAAGCTTTCCAAGTGCTTCAATACTATTTTGGAGAAGAGGTTAGAGTAGGCAGAGTTGGAGAGAAAGGAAGAAGGATCTCTTTGAAAGTTAGAGATGGTGAAAAAGACATGTAATCCAATGTGGAAAATCGAGTAAAAGAGGCAGTGCACACTTTAGCTTAGGCAAAGATTGCCGAATCCTTTGAAGAAACTGACACGGATTTTCCAGAAATGGGGTGGAGGTAGGGGGGGAATCCTAGGGTGGGCATTTTATGTAAATGAGCATATTTGAAATATAGTACAAATCCGGTATAGTAAAACTGACAGTTCTGACAGTATTGACAACATAAATATATGTTTGAACACTGCACTTTCAGACACTTAACCGATGAAGCAATAAAAAAAAAATTCGACTACAATATTTCAAATAATCGACATTGATGTTTTGATACATCATTTTTATACTCCAAATCGATCTATCACTGTGGGGCTGGTCAATTTTAAGTAAAAATGTGCTGCAATTATTTGTACCTTGGCTAATGATGACCTAATAACAATTAATTACACCTGAACTGTGCCTTTTTCCTTCCGCAATGGAGGTGGGGGGCAATTCTTGGAAAACAGAACCCACTATTGTGCCATTCTTCCCCTCCCTTGTATTCCATTTTTGCCATGGGTCCGGGGTGGAACTTCAGATTGAGGAAGGGGTCTTTGGTTGATCATAGACGCCACAGGCTGAGGTCCCCTCACCTGAAATAGCCACCTTCTGGGTCTATATTGGGAATATGGTCCTCACTTTTACTTTGCAAAGTCAAAACTAAATTTTAGAAAATTCAATCATAACTCTCCTTCAGTTTCTATGTCCTTTCTCTGTTTCAAGGACTAGATGGAAGAGATTTGCTCAAAGATTGAAATTTTCTCTCGGGCTGTGTGTGTGTGTGTGTGAGAGAGAGAGAGAGAGAGAGAGGGAGGAGGAGGAGGAGAAGGAGGAGAGAGGAGAGGAGAGAGAGAGGCCGCGCACAGGGGAGTTTTAAGAAAGTATGGATACAGCCGGGTTTAAATCTAAAGCATCTAATCTGAATCGAATCTCTCCCACAGCCCCATCCCCTCTGACCTCCCTACACAACGTTGATTGTTTACAGGCTACTGGAAAAAAATAAAAAGAAAAAAAGCCACAAATAAGAAAGACAATGACCTGCAAATTGCAGGAATGGAGGAAGGAGACAGTTGAGTATTGCTTCCCCACGCTCGCCGCCTCCCGCAGTCTTACTGTTGGTTTTCGCTGTTTGCCCTGTGAGTTTTCCAGTTCTTACCCACTCCTCTCCAAATTTGGTGGCGGCGGGGGATGGGGAAATAAGATAAAGCTTTATTAATTGAAGGAAAAAACAATCCTGGACAGGCCTACGAAACAAAATCGAGCAGTCCATTGTGAAGTACGGATTGGGTGGAGGCGGTGGAGGACCCCTCGCACTCCCACTCCGACTCCCTCTCGCAGGCTAGGCGCCGCGCTGTGCTGTTCCCACCCCTGTGAAGCCCCGACCCTTCCTCAAACTCGCACTGAGACTCGGCCTTCTGACCTAAAACTTAGCTGGGCTCCACTAGCCCTGAATTCCAGTGTCTGATTTCTTTCCTCCAAACTTCACAAATGCGGTTTTTAGCCCCTCCAAACCAGCGCCAGCTGAGATGTTGGGACTTGAGCAACACGCTATGCAACTTTAAGATGCTAATCGAAGGCAAAGGATGTGTGCGACCCGCGTTGGGTAAGGGGAGGAGGGATGAGAAGAGACAGCTCCGTGGCCAGAGCATCCCGCAGTTGTGAGGGTTGCTAGTCTCTGGCCGGGTCTTTCCAAGCCGCCTGAGCCGCAAGTTGGGGTAGGAACTAGACAAGAGGCCGCAGGAGGACAGAAAAGCGAGAAAAACAATCGAGATAGCGGAAGAGACGAAAGAAAAAGAAGGAGAGAGGAAGAAAGAGAGGAAGGAAGAGAGCGAGGGAAGGAGGAACAGCGAGAGCGAGCGCACGTCGTGTTTGGAGTCCCGCCAGATAGCGCTAGAGGGCTATTTATTGAAATCCTTTCTGCGAGATGAAGCAGCTAAAATTGGGAGAAATAAGAAGAAAAGGGGGCAAAAGGAAAAAATGTCTAATAATTTTACTCCATTTTATTTAAAAAAATAAATTGTGGGGTGCTTAAACGTTATTAATGGGAGGAGGTGAAGAAAAATTTACGATAGAAACCTGAAGTGGGAAGAGGACCAAAGGACCAAAAGCCACCACCACCACCACCACCACCAACAAAAGCAAACAAAAAAGTCCCCTTCCCTCTGTTCATCCCAGCTAGGAAGAACAAGTAAAGTTAACAGGTAAGGAAGCCAGTGCAATTATTTCTAGGCCAACTTTCAGAGCTTCTGGTTACACTGCTGGGAAGGTCATGAGCAGCTCACAAGGATAAGCCGATGTTTATGGAGAAAGGATGTTTTAAAAGTAATAGATGGCTGCAAGGGGTGGAGAAGGAGAGACAAACACGTTATTGGAAACGCCAAATAAAATATATATCAAAAATTCCAACTGTCAGCCAGCAGGTCTTGAGCAGACGATAGCCCCTTCTGCCTTTGTCCCAGCGATCCTGGGCTCAGGGCTGTTTCTGCAGGGCTGAAATCAAACTCCTTGAATAACAATTTAGATATACTCTGAGAAGCTTGGAGAAAAGAACTAGGCTACAAAAATTCACTGTGTCATTCAGAACCCAAAGAAAACTGCTGGGGATGGAAAGAGAAGACCTAGTGACAGAGGTAGAGTCCAGAGAGAGAGAGATGGAGAGAGAATAACATATTTTTGATCACTTTTACTTGCTCAGTTCAGTAATGCAAGGCAGAAAACTTCTTTCAAATGATACTTTACTTTTAAGTATTGACCTGCTTTTATCCTAAAATCCCTGCCATTTCACATATCTAGCTTCTAATTTTAAACCTGCACTTTCCTTTGACCTGAAGGAATTTTTGAAAATCAAAGTAATAATTCATGTCTTTTTTTCAAAGCCAGTAAATAGAACTTCCCTCCGGGAATAAAAATTAATCTTACACAGTTTTTAAAGATCTGCTTCATCCAAAAAATTCTAAATCAAAACATTAAATAAAGTTACAAATAAGATTAAGGTAGAATTTATTTGCTTCTCTAGAAAGGCATCAATTGTTCTGTTGTAAGAAGACAAAAAGGATTTAAACCTGGTGATTTTAATACACAGATTAACACTTCGGACTTCACAGTTCTGAGGAATTTGAAGTTATCTGTGCTGAGAATCTATAACTTTCAAGGAAAAGAAAAAGAAACAGCTACACAAGGTCCTTAAGGAGCGTGGGCAAATTCACCTACAGTCTGGGTTCATAAATGCTCAGTTCAAATTAAACATTCCCCGTAAAGCCAATGCCCTTCAAATTAAGGGACTATAGTGGAATTCAATTATTCCTTTTAAATCTTAAATGTTACCTATGATAGCATTTCATGTTGGCTCAAAAAAGAAAAGGAAAAAGAGAAAAGTAGCAGTTTTTAGAAGTCTTGGGGTTGCCTCAATAAGAAAGAGGTGATTAAAAACAGACTCTTAAATTTGAGAGGCCCGATTCCCCCTCCCATTCCTCCCCACCCTCTAGGTCCCCTCCTTTTCACCTCTTTTTTATGTAGTACCCCTACCCCCACTCTAGAGCTAAGTAGCTGATTTGGGATTCTGAAGAAATCGGTTTCACCATCCATATTTGTTCTGGGGCACTTGTAAAATGCGATTTGTAGAGGGTCTTTAGCCTTCTGATTGTCTTTGAATTGTTTTTACTGAAACAGATCTTTTGCAGTTAATGAGTCCCCACGCAGCTGGACAGCTCCTCTCGGACACTGAGAACTCTAACCCCAAAATGACCCCAATTTGACACCGCAAGATGAAATTTTACCGCCTGTTAAAACCATTTCCAGCCTGGGCAGAAGGAGCTGACTGTTGACGGAGGTGTGTGGCACCTCCTGCGACCCCCATTTCGTGCCTGTCTCCCGGGCCTGCCCCACCTACTTTCCTTTCACCCCCAATGTGGGAGAGCAGATGAGCCTGGAAGCCTGGGTGGGAGTGCCAAAGCTGACAATAGGGCATTAGCAAAATGCCACCAGACTAGAAATCAGAAAGTGCGGGCACCCTACTCCTTTGGAATCGCTTCTATTGGACTGGAAAATTGGGGACGGGGGAAACCAGGAAATTCTTAAATGTTAGATGAGCCTTTTCAGCTCTATTAATAAAACACCTGCAAGTTGCTGATTAAAGGCAATAGTCCTTTAAATTCATCAAACTGACCAAGAACCGATACCTTGAGTCGACTCCAACTTGATCTCCTAGTGTGTAATCCACTACACTAGAATTGCTATTTTAAACTAACAGTTTCATAAATGACATGCAACTAGGTAAGTAAGATCTCTTTCACTGCAAGAAATTCTGGGTTCTCCCGTGAGACAATTGGCAAATTTTAAAAAGACATGGATTTCCTCCAGTAGGAATGCAGTTTTAACACTCTTACACTTTTTTAACTAAAAGTCGTTGAAGTTAAATATGACTTTTTGACAATATCTTAAAATGTCATATTTCTCTCTCCCTCCTACACCTAACCATATTGTCCCTGTTGTTTGCTTTAATGTATTCAATAAAATGCAAAGGAAGTTAAGAATATGAGAGAGAGAGAGAAAGAGAGGAAGAAAGGCATTAAGGTTAAAAACGCCTTCTGCATCTCTGGAAAGATGAAAACACACAAAAATAGAGTTTAAATTTGTCTTTTTTTGTAAAATCCAAGATTATCACCGGAGAATCAACTCATTATTACCTTACAATTGTTTGAAAATATAGAAATCGGCTGGGCGCGGTAGCTCATGCCTGTAATCCCATCACTTTGGGAGGCCGAAGCCGGCGGATCAGGAGGTCAGGAGTTCGAGACCAGTCTGGCCAACATGGTGAAACACCGTCTCCGTCTCTACTAAAGATATAAAAAATTAGCCGAGCGTGGTGGCGCGCGCCTGTAATCCCAGCTACTAGGGAGGCTGAGGCAGGAGGATCGCTTGAACCCGGGAGGCGGGAGCTGTAGTGAGCCAAGATCCCGCCATTACACTCCAGCCTGGGCAACAGGGCAGGAATCCGTCTCAAAAAAAAAAAGAAAGAAAGAAAAAAAAAAGTGGGGGGAAGGAAAAGAAAATATAGAAATCACCAATCTGTCTGAACTGTTTTACTCAGTTGCACTGCCAGGGACCCAACATTTTTCTAAAAATGCGACCAAGTTTTTCTAAATTAAAGCTATAGGGATGATAACTCACCTTACAATATCACTATAAAAACAGAAGCGGTAGAAAAACAGAGGTAGCAATGTTGAATGTTTAAACTCTGCAAGGCAAAGGTTCGGTGTGAAGTTGACTTTTACCCCCTCCCACCCCCCCAAAAAAAAGATTTATCAAGGACACTGAGGAGTTTCTTTTAAAAAGAAACGCAACTGGCACTTACTGAACAAGACAGTTGAAACAACAATAATCCTATTATCGACGATAAATTTAAATTCTTAAATTTAAGAATAATTAGAAGAGGAAAAACTGAGTGTAAACTTCTCAGCCAGCGGCGCTGCACCGAGAACTTGGACCCACCAACATCAACAGCTTTGCAAAGTCGAAAACTCTCCGCAGCAAGAGCAGATTGTCGTTTTTTCCCCTCCCGACCCCGCCGCCCTCTCAACCTCCGCGTCCCGGCTAAACTGAAGTCGCGTAACTGTCGATTGAAATAAAATTCTGGAGACCAACTTTTTCTTTTCTCTTGCATCTTCTTTTCTTTTTTACTCACCTTCTCTTAAATGTCGACGAGCAACTCAGCAAGAAATAAGGAGGATACTTTTAATCTTGGAGTTCTTCTAGAAAAAAAAGAGGAGGTGGAGGAAGTACCCTCCCCCCAACCTTCAGATTTCCTACCCGTCGGCTCTAGCAGGCTTGAAGCCGGGCAAAAACAGTGGCTGAAAACCTGGGTTACACTCTCCTCCCTGAAGCTCCGTGAGCTTGGCTGTCCCTGCTCGGGCCAACGGGCAGAAACCTCGCGGCCCGCAGCCCCTCTCCCCGGCGTCGCGCTATCCGCGCCTCTGCCAGCCCCTTCGCACTATCTTTCTTTATATGTGAGGGCCGATTTCCCGCAGACATCATTGTTATGATGGCTCATTTAATCAAACTGTTTAATTGCTCTGGTAATCACTATCATCATCACAGGTGCTCAATCATTCATCATTTTTGGAGGGCTTTATTGACCTCCGGAGTTCATTCCTCAGCCCTATTAAAACGAGGCCAAATTTCTCCGACTCTGCTTGGAGTCTCCGCAGGCTGCAATCTTAGCCTAGTTTGTGTTGCTCGAAAGCTTACAGTGAAGCAGGGAAGATGGAAAGGGGGCCAAAAAAAAAAGCCCTCCCACCAGCCCTCCTCCCCGCGCTTTCTCTGGCTTTCTCACAGACACACACGCGCTCGCTCCTGCGCGCCCGCGCGCGCACACACACACACACACACACACACACACAGACACACACACACAGAGTACTTTATTCTCTCTAATCAACCTCCCCCACCCCACCCACCCTCCGCGGGAAAGTCGGATAGACGCGGCGCGCGGAAGACATTCTACTCTCTACTTCCCAGATGGGTTCAAAGTTGAAGAGGGATGCGGCTGTTGGAGAACAACAGTCCGCATTCCACTCTCTAGGCCAGGGACTGGGAGAGCGAGAGCGAGAAGTTGGGGAGAGGGCGCGCTTCCAGCTCCTGTCCCGGCCCGGCCGCGCCACCGGGGCCGAGCGGCGGCGGGGCTGCGGGGCTGCGGGGCTGCGCGGCGCGCGCGGGGTGACCGTGGCTCCGCCCCCAGCTCAGGGCTCGGCTTGAGTGACGCGCGGCCGCCGGGAAACCAGCCGCGCAGTGGTAAAGCCTGGTGCAGCTACGGCCAAGTAGGACGAGGCACCAGCCACTAGTTTCCACCCTTATGGTGTGGAGTAGTTCCCTTCCTTTCCTCCTCTTTTCCTTTTTGGAAAAGTTCTGACGGAGCTGGTCCCTGGTCCCTGACCCAGCGAAATCGCCCCTGTGTAATTAACACAGCCATTAGCAAGCGTTACCGCCGCTGCGCCTCGGGCGACCACAACAAAGCTGGGCTAAGAGCGCCGGCCACTCCTCCTGGCCCGGCAACTTCTTTCTCCCCCTCTTTTTCTCTCTCAGTCTTTTCCTCCTGTGCTTTTCAGCTCTGAGTGAGATCTACTTTGGAGACGCACACTAGTCGCGCGCGCGCGCGCGCGCACACACACACACACACACACACGCCCTTGGCTACATCGGACCCAAATGACTCTCTCCTCACTTCCTCCCTCCCCATTCCGCCGCGGCCCCCAAAGACTCTCGGGGTGGCCCCTTGTCCGCGCCGCTTGGACGGAGTGTGCTGTGAGTTAAGCTGGTCTCTTCTGGTTCTGGAAAAAATGAGTATTGACAAGGCTGCTGGATCTGCGCAGAAAAGAAAGTGCCACTTAATAAAAAATTTAACCCGGCAGTGGTACGGTCTGGAGAGCTTGCTGCCCTTGGACCTTAGTAGAAAGCCTTCGGGGTGCTGTAATCGGCGGGCAGAGGAGAGGGAGGCCGCGGAATTAAAAAGAACAAAAGCGAGAGCGCCATGCCAAACGTGCCCGACACGACCCACTTAGGCAGGAGCCGGGAGTGATGGGAAAATGAACTAGAAGTAAGTTTTTTTTAAAAAAATGAAAAGATCTGAGGCGGTACCGTACTTTCCCTGTGGTTTTCTGCAGTTTTCCTCTCTGCGCTCTCCCTGTCCTCTTCTCTCTCTCTCCCCTTCTCCCTCTCTCCCTGTTCGCGCGCGCGCGCACAACACACTCACGCGCGCACGCACACACACACACACACACACACCTCTCCCCCCTTCCTCCCCCAGCCGCCCCCCATCCCCGCGGAGGAGCAGGCTCGCTGATTTGCTCGGGTCCGCCCTGCCCGAGCCTCCCCTCCCCCTCCCGCCCTCCGCCTCCCCCGCCCCCCTAGCCGGGGCTGTCCGATCGCACTCGTTGCATATCAGAGGCTCTGCGCGGCGCGCTCCTCCTCGCTCCCGCTCCCCACTCCCGGGATGTGTCTCCGCCGTACGACGGGCTATGGCCACCACGACTTCCGGGTTCCGTCATTTCGTTCTCCCGCCGCCGACCCGCGCCGCCAAACTGAGGCTCTTCAATAAGCCAGGCAGCAGCCAACCTGCCAACACCTACTGACACTCACTCATCTCCCAGAGAGAGAAAGAGAGCGAGAGAGAGCGAGCGCGAGAGAGCGAGCGCGAGTGAGAGCGAGCGAGCGAGCGAGAAAGAGAGAGAGGGAGAGACAAAATACCTACCAGGAAAGGGGGGGGGAGGAAGTCCAATTTTTGCAAACTATTCATATTTTTTTTCTTGATTTTTCTCCCTGCTTTCTTTGAACAATACTTTAAAGAGAGAGGATCATATTATCGATACCGCGGGGGCAAAGCTAAAAAAGGGGGGAGGGGGAGGAAAAAATTCAAGAAGCAGAAACCCCTCGCGGAGTTTTACTGGAAGAAAAAAAACGGGTCTGAAAGATTCCTCCTCTTCATCATCATCAACCATCATTCATTCACTACCTTGACATTCCGGGCTTTGATTGACAGCTGGAGTGGCAAAAAGCCATGAAACACGACAGTTCGGTTACATGTGGGCTGCTGACGGGCTGCTCGTAACCTTCAGTTCGGGGGCTTGACAATTTTTTTCTTCTTTTTCTTCTTTTTCTTTTCTTTTTTTTTTTTTTTTTTTCCAACTGAGGGGAAGAGAAGAGAAAGAGGGGGAAAGGAGGACCGAAAAGGAGGAGGAGGGGAGGGGGGAGGAGGAGGAGGTGGAGGAGGAGGAGGAAGATCAGGAGGAGGAGGAAGAAGAGGAAAAAAGAGAAAAAGAAGAAATATCACAAAAAAAAAAAAAAAACTCTTCGTTATCTTGCCTGGGCTTTTCCCCCCCTAAAAAATAACATATTGGAGAATTGGGAGAAATCTCTTTGGTTTGGAAAAAAAAAAAAGGAATCTTCAGCCTAGATCACTTTCTTATCCGGACTGGGATATTAAATATACGACACATCCAGGAGTTTATTGGAGCGCAGACTGATGGCGCAAAGGGTAGGTTTAAATCTCCAACACTTACCTAGATATAAATCCTCTCTAAGAGGGGCCTGTCCCGATGCCTCCTCTCCCTTCAACGCTTCTGCTGCTGCTCGCTGCTTGATGATGGCGGCCAGTATTTTAAAAAATAGCAAAATTATTCATCGGCTTCTTTCCCCCCCGTGCCTCTGCGTGTGTGCGAGTGTGTGTGCGTGCGTGTGTGCGTGTCTGGGCGCGCGTGTTCCAGCGCTGTGCGAGCGGGCGGGCGGCGAGTGCGTGTGAGTGGTGTGTGTGTGCGTGTGCAATTGTTACACGCTTTCGCCTCGCTCCAGCTTTTACCCCAGCAGCGAGATTCCCCCGGTTCTCCTGCTGCCGCTGCTGCGCCGCTGCCGCCGCTGCTCGCGCGGCTCGGGGCGGGCACAGGCTGCGTAGGAGCCGCCGCCGGGGCCGCCGCTGGGGCCGCGCTGCCGCAGCCGCTGCGCCGCCGCCTAGACTACTAGCCTGGGCTGCTTGTTTTGTCTCTGAAATTGACAAGGACGCAGGGAATCCGCTGCTAAATAATGTTTCTGGTAACTTTCACGTTATTCCCCCCCACCCTCCGCTCCCTGCCCCCGGGGAGGCACTGGCCCTGGTCTTTCCTGGTCCTCGGCGTTCTCTTGCTGATTATTAGTGTTTTTCTTCTCTTTATTTTGTTTCATTTCGCCTTTTGATTTATTGGATCCTCTGGAGGAGGCGAAGGGGGGTTAAGGGTGGGATCCGGGGCTTCCTCCTCACACTAACTCCACTTCTCCCTCCGTTGGCTCGCTACGGTTCTGTTGCCTCCGGCGGCAGCGGGGCCTCCCGGCTCCCCCTCAAATCCCCGGCCTCGCCGCCTCCCCTTCCTTCTCTAAACGTTGCTCTCGGTTCATGCTTTTTCATTTTTAAATTGAATAACATTTTTCCCCACAACTTTCAACTTCGTTGTTTTGCCTGGTTTGATTTCTGTGTGCTCAACTTGTGCTCGGTACTTTTCTCTTTTCTGACTTTGTTTTTATTTTTATTCTCTCTCTCTTCCTCCCTCCCTCCCTCTTCTCCTATCTTCTCTCTCTTACCTCTCTCCCTCTCTTTCTCATCTTTATCCCTTCCCCTCCTTTCTGTTCACCCTCTTCTCCCTGCTCTTTTTCCCTTTCCACCCTCCTCCTCTGTTCTCCCTCACCTCCTGCGCCTCCTCCCCCTTCCCGGGTTCTGACAGTACGATGAGCTGCCCCATTACGGCGGGATGGACGGAGTAGGGGTTCCCGCTTCCATGTACGGAGACCCTCACGCGCCGCGGCCGATCCCCCCGGTTCACCACTTGAACCACGGGCCGCCGCTCCACGCCACACAGCACTACGGCGCTCACGCCCCACACCCCAATGTCATGCCGGCCAGCATGGGATCCGCTGTCAACGACGCCTTGAAGCGGGACAAGGACGCGATCTATGGGTAAACCGACCCCCCCCCCGGACCCAGCTTACTGTGTGTGAGTGTGAGTGAGAGTATGTGTTTGTCTCTGTGGGGGTGGGAGGGTGGACCACTAAGTGGGGAGTTATTTCTGCATGGTGGGGGGCGGGCGCCGCTTGCCTTAGGAAAGGACCCTGGAGGGGGCCTGTTTTTCTGCCCCTGGAGTCAAAGACCGGAAGATCTAGCCTCCTCCACTCTCACAGGCCGGCCACTCCGGACCGCATAGCTCGGAGTGACTGAGTCCCCAGAATCTTGCCGGGGCCTTCTCCCGGAGGACAGGATTCCTAGCCAACGGATGCAGGGCCGGTCGTTTCAGGCCCCCTAACAGAGGCCTTGACGAAGGAGAAAGTTTCCTGCCGATGAGGAGCAACTTTGGGTTTTTTTCTTTTTTATTTTTTTCTCTTCTGTTTCCTACTGAGGGTCTGGGAGTCGCTAAAAGCAGCTTGAGCTGGGATCAGGGCTGCTTCTGTCGGCCAGGAAGTCCTAATCACCCACTTCTTAATTCTCTGTAAATAAAGGGGACAGACCTTGAAGTGCAGCGAGGTGGAAGGGACTGTTGCTTGCTTGGGGCAGCTCTTAGTGGGAGTAAGGAAGATGGCTGGAAATCATTTTATATTCTGAGAGCACTTGGCGAGGGGTGGGATGCATGATCCTAACCTGTACCACACGGGCTTCCGGCTGAGGGTAGGTGGGCAAAGCGACGGGTTGCCGAGGGGAGGGGACAGTGGGTAAACAGCAACTGAGCCCCAAGCCAGAGGCCGCCAGCGTCCCGAAGTGTGGCTAAGCCGCCTGGAGGAACACAAAGGGCATACGCACACGCACACTTACAAGTTTTAAAACACGATTTATTTATTTTTGTCTGCTGCAAAGCTGGGAGAAATGTGGTCTTTGGAAGGAAGCTCTCCAGAGTGTAACCTTCCTATTATTTTGGCCTCCACACTAGGGTTTTACTAGAAGTGGAGCAAACAAGTTTATAAAGCAAGAGGGTGGAGAGATTAGAAGAGCATTCTCTTGCATTTAGGAAGTGTCACTGCGGTGTGTATGTAGGTGAAGCCTTTGGCCTCATCTGAAATGCCCATTAAAATGCAGAGTTAGAACAATTTTTTTATTTCAAGCAGTGTTTCTTTCTTGGGAGGTCAGGGCTGAGTCTCAGGGGTTGGTTCGGCGTCCTCGATACTGTGGGGAGTGGATCAGAATCGACTCCGGGCTCCAGACTGAGCGTCCCGGATGTTTCATTACGTTCCAACTGAGGCTGTTTTTATTTGTCGGGCTGCAGTGGCCGGGGGCTCTGGCCAGATATGAGAGACCTCTAAACTGCGGGAAAGGGCCAGGCCCTTTTCCCTTTCTGTTTCTGAATCAGGCTCGGCTGACTGAGGAAGGGTTGTAAAGTGTGATGCGTGCCTGTTGTATTAAAGAAGGACTCCACACCCTCCAAACTTGTTGATTACAGTTCTTGCTCCTTCCCCTCTGCACCCCGTCTCTGTGTGTGTGTCTCTGCGTGGCGCTGCCCGTTAGGCACCCGTTGTTTCCTCTGTTAGCTCTGGTCTTTGAGAAGTGCGAGCTGGCGACCTGCACTCCCCGGGAACCTGGAGTGGCCGGCGGAGACGTCTGCTCCTCCGACTCCTTCAACGAGGACATCGCGGTCTTCGCCAAGCAGGTCCAACCTTCTTGATCCACTCATCTTCGGGCAGTCCCTCACTACCCCTCCCCTTTCCTCGGAGCTTTACTTGAAAGGAGGAAAGGCCAGGGATACCCGATCTGTTTCTCTGGCCCAGTCCACTCTCTACACCTCCTCCCCATCCCTAAGCCTGGGGGCGAATTGGAAGCGGAGATAAATATGGGTGTTTGTTTTTCCCCCCAGCAGGAATACAGGGATTCGACCCTCGAATTAAAGTTGACCTGCTCCTAATCTGGGGCTTGGCCTTTTCCCCCCCGCCTCCAGCTACTTGAACAAGAATTGAGGAGAGGGACTGTGAGGGACCCGGGAGTGCCCGGGAGGCAAGGAAGCTGGGCGCCTCTCCGAGTGGTCCCAGGCAGCAGTGGAAAGCCACAGCCTCTTGGACGGCTGGATAAGGGGCTATTCGGGGCCCTGCGAACGGCCCTGAATTCCCGGCTACAGCTTAGTCGTACTAGGTCCCCCTTAATGGGGCCCGGACCAGAATGCCCTGATTCTTCTTCAGCGACCCCACTAATTTAAGGCACCACTTTGTTTCTTGTATTTTGCCAAAGTCCCTTTCCTCTTCTCCGCCATTGCCCCTCCACCGTCCCCACTCTCACGTTTCAGTTTTCTTCTTTTAAATGGGGTGGTTGTTCAAGCTGACTTTCTCTGTTTCTTACAGGTTCGCGCCGAAAAGCCACTTTTTTCCTCAAATCCAGAGCTGGACAATTTGGTAAGGCTCTCTGTTCCTTGTTTTTTCCCCAGCCTTTGCCCTCTCCCATGCCCAGAAGCACCCACTTTCTGCCGGAGCTCTGGAGAGTTCGGACAGAACCCTCTTTTGGAGCTCTAGGGAGAGAGGGAAGAAGGGAGAAGCTTAGAGCCCCTGCCTGGGAGCTGGCGAGCGAGGGGCAGGAGGGACTTGGTGGGGAGCGAAGCCCAGGGAGGCCGAAAGGGGAGACAAGGCGCCGAGAGCGCGAGCGGGGGATGTTTCCCAGGTCTCGGCCCCAGGAGTAAAGAGCGAGAAGTGAGTTATTTCCTCTGTTTGCGGGGCAGGCGGCGAGCCCTGGGCAGCCCACCCGAAGGATGTAACCGCTGGCAAGGCTGAGGGCGGGCTGAGGGTGGGGGCTGGAGGGCGATGAGGGGCAGACCAGCGCAGGCCACTTTTAGGTGCGATTCTTTTGCTAATTTGCACGATTTCAATATTAAAAGTACTTAAATCCGCTTTCAAAGGCCCTGCCTCAGCATTCATCTTGAGTATTTCCTTCTTTAGTGAGGAAGAATTTCGCTGGGTGTGCTCTTTCTAAAAAGCTTTTTCTATCCAGAGAGGCGACCTTTTTTTTTTTTTTTTTTTTTTTTTTTTTTTTAATTTGTCCTGAGGTCGAGGGAGGGGATGCTTAAAGAGGACTGAGAAGAGAAAAAAGGCCTGGCCCGAGGAAAGCAGTCCTTACAAATAGCACAGCGAACATCAGGGGGAAAGATGTTAATGCTTGTGCTCAGGTTGAGTCAGATTCCTACCCCGTGGCCAATGAGGCAGAGACTATCAGTAATCACTTGATTTTTCTGACTATTTCTTGATGTGTAGGTTTTCCCTGGCCACCTGCCCGTTTCTTCTCCCCAGCCCAATTTTCTCACCACCATCCATCCTCACACCACCCCCAACCCCAAGACAGGACCTCCAAGTCACAGAGGTCTAACTCCATTCCCTGAACTTTTCTTTCAGATGATACAAGCAATACAAGTACTAAGGTTTCATCTTTTGGAGTTAGAAAAGGTAAGCCGGAAATAACACTCCCTGTGTTCATGAAACCACTTCCCGCTCCTAGTTGAGTTGGGATGCTTTTAACAAACCTCTGGTATGAGGGATTGAGCACCTGGAGATTTTGAGCATGTAACCATGTCCATCCTTCAACTCACTTCTCAACACAGGGGCTCAGAGGATGGGTGAATCAGGACAGCCTTGCCTTTAAAGTAGTCTCCTCCTCCCCAGTATTCCCCCCCAGGCATTCAGGATTATTCTGAAATGCAGCAAACCATTTGTGTTACCGGACACTCAGCCTGCTTGTGTCTTTATTAGCTCAGCTCACCCTCGGCCCAGGGTTTGCATTAGGTACAGGCAGAGTGAATCATCCTCGCTGGGTGTCTTCACATTGTTCTGCAGGTCAATTACTTTCTCCTGGAAACATAGAAAACTTCTAGCTTATAGAATTACAAATGTTAATGCTCTCCCCAGCTCCAATGTTGTAATGTTTTGATATTATTGTCAAATCAGATTTAATTCCCTGGACTCCCAGTCTGAACCCAGTTATTTCCAGTCCTATTTCTTTCTGTCTCTCTATTTTAACTTGTTGCTCAGAGAAGTCTCTGGAGAATAATATCTGCTGCAACAATTGCTCTATTGTTTCCTTGCCTTCAACTATTACAACCTTTAATTAGAGTTAGTTTGGAAGACATCACACTGTTGCTCTTTCCAAATGTAAGCTTGCAACCTGGTATTTTTCCTTTGTAAAAATGAAACAAAACAAAACAACAACATGAGCTGAACCCTCCAACCATGACCTTCGTTCTAGGTCCACGAACTGTGCGATAACTTCTGCCACCGATACATTAGCTGTTTGAAGGGGAAAATGCCCATCGACCTCGTCATTGATGAAAGAGACGGCAGCTCCAAGTCAGATCATGAAGAACTTTCAGGCTCCTCCACAAATCTCGCTGACCATGTAAGTCTGCTAGCCTTTGGCAATCTTTTAAGGTCCCTGGGCAAAGCATTATTTTAAACTACTTTTTTTTAACATCTAGCTCTGCTGATTTGGTTTTCTGATTTGGTCTCTTTTGGGTCCTTTCTTCTCTTTCTCACTCTCTCTGCTATACCCTTCATCTTCATTTCTCCTTTCTTGGACTCCCCTCCTATCTATATTGAGAGCCAGAAAACCAGAGAGTTGATAGAGTCATTTGTATTCTTAATGTGTAAAGTTTTCTGGATTTTGTGACTTGAGTGTTAGAAAATTCTGTTTGATATAGTCACCACTGTCTTTTCTGCTTTCTTAATTCTGTGTAATCAGTGCAGCAGGGATAGAAAGAGGCAAGACAGTTAGCTGGACTGGTCTGGAGAGAGAGGACTGAAGGAAAGAGAGTTGGGGAGTGAGTGCTGATTTCCCAGTCTCTCACTGAGATGACAATTCTGAGAATTATTGGCAATCTTGCACTGCATTTGAAATAAAAGGAGTGAACGAACACATTACAATTCTCAGGGCTTTTGCTCTATAGAAACTTACTGTCAGAATATGGACTTATTGCCAAGTGCCTGAAGCATCTTCATAATAAAAGACAGTAACCTTGATGAACCAATTATTAACAATGTATTACAGAAAGCTGAAGGGAATTATGATTGAGTAACCATAGGTTAGTGGTTGAATTTTAACACTTTAACAGTTGGTGAATGAGGATGGAGAGTGTAGTAAGAAATGACTGTGTATGTCAGGCCAGGAAAGGAGATTTCTTTCTATTCTCTCTCTGTTTCTAATCCTATTTTGGAACCAATCTAGTGAGTCTGATGCTTAAAAAAAAAAAAGCATATGTAGTGAGACTGAAAATTTGAAAAAGAAGCAAAGAGAAGAAAGATTGCAGCTGGTAGGAAAGGCAAGAGTGGCGAGGTTAAAGAGTGGGTGTGAACAGCAGTTTATTTATAGGAACACAAGCCTGGAAATGGGGGACAGGGTGTCTATAGATTACATTCAGTTGAACTCACAGCCTAAATGATAGAAGCTGTAGTTTAATAACTTTGTGGCCGAAATATTAATTTAACACTTTGTGTGAGTTAAACAGGCATTAAGGCTTGAAGGCAGTTTGTCCCTACCTCCCATCCCAATTCCTGAGTGTTATGAGAAATGAATGGGGATGCCATAGTAGAAAGCTTTTATGAGGTTCTTCTCTCCCCTGCTCCAAACAAAAGTTTTGAAAATATGCAATTGTAGATTTTCATAATTAACCTTTGCACTTATATGGGAAGTCAGCATAAGAACAAAAGTTAGAAAAAATCTAGAAAAGAAAACCTGAGTCTGTGATATCCAGTTCTGTGACAGAATAATAAGGTGTTGAAGGCTCCCATGCCTACCTTTACCTTTACCTTTTTCCATCATGGTGAGGGAATCTTTGATGAGCTGCTTTGTATATTGAGTGAATGTAATGAAATCAAAAGGATGCAGCAGCAGTTATAGAAAGTTGATTTGCTGATCTGAGGCTCTACATTGTGTTGTGGTCCATGAGGCTTGACACTACCTAAGAAATATTTATCTTTGTTGTTTTTTATGTGTTTACTTTCATTATTTGCTGTTTCTAAATTTATATTTACTCACATTATTGGGAGAATGGGGAAAAATCTATTTACATAGTTTGTAAAATGAGAGGCTCACAGTTTTTAGAGCCAAAAGCTTTTCTCCTAATATTTCTGGAGGTACCGACTACTTAGTTTTCTAAAACAGTTTCTTGGCACCTGTTTTTCCGGTGGGTGTATAGAGCTAGAACATGTTGATGTTTACATAGAAATGATAAGATAAAATAGGCTGTTTAAAGTATTGGCTGATAGACAATCAATTTATGAAACTATTGTAATATTTAAATACCCACTCAAGAAGGAAGTTGTACCTAAGAGGATAGCGCTTTAATAATTTATCAATCATCATCCTTGGATAAAAGAGTCAACTGTAACATTTGTTGCTCTCCTTTCAGGCCCCTAGTCAAGTAAATATGACAACTGATTTATTTTGAACCCATGAGGGCTTGCCACCTCATTGGGTGTCATAATTTAAAGCCTTTTATTTCCTAGAGATCTGAACTATAACATTTTTACTTCAGCCCCCTGCTATTTGTTTTGAAAGGAAGCAATAATTTGTTCCACCAGCACACCAAGTGGAAAATGGAGAGATTTGCCACAGACTTGTATTTTATGCGGGGACTTGAGAGAAAACCTTGGAGAGATTTCACCATTTCTGAGACTTTTGTGCCATAGGTGTATTGATTATATTCACATCCAGGCTGTCCCCTGCAAAGCAAATCCTCTTACGCTTTTCAGCCTCTTCTACATAGTTGCTTTTCTTCAACTCCTTAGCCAAACACAAAGTAAAAATAACAGAGAACCACTACCTGAAAAGTGGCATGAGTGGGACATTTTCAGCATGTAAATGTGTCCAATTTGAATCTTCAGGTTTATTTTTCATTTGCTTTGATATGCATATTTAATACATTGCCCCAGGCTGGATCTCATTTGGTGAACACTGGTGCAGGGGTGATGATGAGCTACTTCAGAGAGACCCAGACAGCGCGCTGTTTTCGTGTTTTATCTGTTGGCCCACTATTCTGATCTACTGAGCTTCCTCGTGGTTTTATTTGCACATGAAATGCTGAGAGCATTTCAACTTATTGGCTATGAATAATGACAGCTAAAAAAGAAGTGTAGTTTAATTTGTTGCGTGCCAAGTTTTCTCTTGTGGAGGTGACAGTTTGTGACAGCTGTTTGACACCCCCAAAACACATACACCTCTATACTTATTAAGTGGTATCTAGCTACATTGTGTGCGTGCGCGTGTGTGTGCGTGTTTAAGGAAGGAACGTGCAAGGAGAGAAAGAAAAGCAGAGAGAAAGTCATCAGAAGCAAAATATTAGGTACCAGTATAATTTCAGTGTTCTTTAAAATAATTTGAAAATGTAAATAGATAAAAGTAACGGATATAAATATTTTCAAAGTCAGTATATTGGCAGACTTTTAAGAATGAGTTTTCTATATTATTAGTAAATCATGTCAATTTCACATTTCATAAAGTTATGTAAATAATTTGATATAACATTAGATACATTAAAAGAGGACAACCATAACATTCTTGCCTTCCATTCCTTACATTCAGCGAGTTTACTGAGTTTATTCATTTATTATTAACACTTACGTATGATGGGTGTAATGATAAGAGGAAGTTTGAAATTAAATAGAAAATAAAATACACAATATGGATTACAATTTTGTCATATTTAGCAAATTCATAATGCATGCTTATCTTTTTAATATTATAATGCATTTAATCATATACTCTTACTGTAACTTAATAATATTTATAGGTAGAAAAGAGCTATTATAATATTTTTTGGAATACAGGGGAGCAAAAATATGTACTAGTCAAAGGAAATAGAACTCTGTTTTCCAGCTGCAGTTCGTGTTAGCTTCCTAGACATTCAAATTTATCATGTTTAAAATAAACATGTCTAGAAAACAATTTTTAAAAAAGTTTCAACTTGAAAACTACTGTGAAATGACCAGCTTTTTCTAGCTGTAGCGTTTCTCAATAACAGGTGGTACATTATCTATTTTACACAATTTTAGATCAAATATTTAGACCTAGTAGAGACAAAGAAAATATATCCTCACACTTACATGTAAAGATATTACATATCTTTAGATCAAGTTTGGGCAAATTAAATCTATTTGCTTGAAGTATGTTCCCTGAGCTAAGCTCTATTTGCTTGAAGTGCGGACAGTTATACCATTATATTGTTATTCCTAGTTAGTGGTCATGAAGAGCTACATTTTTATTTTCTTTGAAAGAATTAAGTAGAGCGAAGAAAATACAATTATATCTGTTAACAGTAAATACCTTAAAATTACCCCACTCTACTAACATCACTAATAAAAGAAAAATTATTTGAATTTATATGTTGAAAGCTGTGATTTAAATAAAGATATTCTGGTGTTTTCTTTTGCATCTCTGAATATATCAAGTTTATTTATGTCTACACAGTTGTTGTTGTTTTTTTCCTCAATGGGTTAGGTCAGAGAGGAAAATCTCCAGAATCTTATTTCTGACAGAATATGGGCAAGTGACTCTAAATAAATTCAATTGCTACCTGAAAAATTAGAGGGGAGTGACAGTGAGGGGTGGGATGGGTTTAAGTGGTTGTTCTATAGAATCTCAAGGGGGAAATAATGAAATTTGATAATAATATTAATAATTGCGTGCTCTATTTTATTTGCTAGTTTCTTATGTCCTAGTGTAAGGTGAGACCTTCTGGTATGCTATCCCAAGCCTCTGGGGCCTATTCTGATAAAGTTTTACTTATGAGCTCTGTACACCAGCTCAAGGGAACATGGCTGGGGGCATGGGTTTTCTGCTGTGTTTCTGCTTCGTACTTTCCGGTGGTTGATAGCTTTCCTGTTAATTTCCCATCAAGAATAATTATTCTATTTAAATCATTTAGATTGTGCAGTTGGAGTATGTTTTCAGTGTAACTGTGATGAGATTAAATTAAACAAAGGTTGTGCTTGACAACCACATAGATATTCACTATCAGATTTTTAAAAAATTGGCATTAATTCATTTTCTTTTTTTAATGCTAAATGTTCTGTGAAATATCCCAACACAATTCAGAGTTATAAGAGGCATTTTATAATATGGCATTGCACCAACAATACAAGACATTTCTGTCTTCTCTAAAAATTGCTTGATTAAATGGAGGAATCATTTGTGAAGGGTACTTGCCACTTTCGTGAGAGTTGCTTACATATTAATTTCCAAAGTTTAGTAGAGAGATAGAAGTGTGGAGGTGAGGGAAGGACCCCAGCTTTATTTGCATTTTTAAAGAGTGAGTCCAGGTTCTGAAAGCACACACAGGTCTCCTGACTTCTTATGTCAACTTTACAATAACGTAGTTGAAATTCCAACATTTGTTCAAGCCG